TCTCACCGCAACCCGCCGCCATGGTCTACATCACCTCTGACCTTTTCGGTCCGAACACACCACACGAGCGACAATACGACGACTCGCCAAATTACTGGCATGCCATGGCTCACCAACAACATGCCGCCGGCTTGGGCAAGAGAAAGAGGATGGCCGCCGATGATGGACCACAACAGTGAGTATTCATGCTTTATCAAAATCAAACCCCAAAACTAACAGCATTTTCAGAAACATAACACGCCAACATCGGCCGTCACCCAGTCGCGACTCCAACCGCCTACATCTCCACAGTACCCCGCCTTTCGACAGCAACAGCAACTTACCCTGCTCCCTCTTCCCATCAAAACAACACGAATACACATCAGAACGACGGCCGGTTAAGCAGTTGAAACGCCTCAGTCCAAAAGCGCCCCTTGTCAAGTCGACATCACATCTGATGGACGTTGACTTTGATCTTCCGCCGACATGCCAGAGCCAATCACACGCCGTTTCCGACTTGCGATCCTGTCACGCCTGCAACAAGGCGCCTAAGCGACGAAAGGACTTGGAGAATTACCTCGACTGCAGGAGGTGCGAAGGGCGGACGTGCTTTATCTGTGCGAGGCAATGTGTAGGGTGCAGCAAGGCCATCTGCAAGAAGTGCATAGTAGAGGTTGGGGAAGAGGGGGATGCTTGGTGTTTGGACTGTTACTCGCGTAATATCAACTCGTGAGCGTCACAAGAGGAGGTTGATTTTTAGTGATTTGGTTTTTTTTTTGGATTGTTTGCTGGAGCAAAGCGGGCGTTCATGTGTTACTCCCAGCTGCATCTTGTGAGACTATGGAGCGTCATAATTGTTTTTCTTATCGACGGTCCTCGGGCTTTGCCCCAACGAGCATGTCAGCCATTCTACTTTCGCCCTGTGTATATAGCAAGGATCATGAGCATCATAATACAGACTAGATTTCCGGGTCATTGATAAGACCATGTACAATTCGTAGTCCTCATTCTATCATTAAACATACACAGCGCCCAGCAAACCAGGAACGGTTCTAATCCTCATCATCAGTGTCCCTCTCCTCCATGACGCTCTCCGCATCTCCCGCTCGGAGCCTCGAGCGCGAACTTGTCATATCTCCGTCTTCAGCCTGACTATTCCTGGTGCTCCGTCTCCTACTCCTACTGCTGACGATACCAGGGAACAACCTAGGTTCTCCGTCTAGCGTGACAGTGCTCGTTGAGCGCGTCAGACCCTGGTCAGGCTCCTCGTATGCTTCTGTCGGCTGAGCGACTGAGAGAGTGCTGGGGTTGACAGTTATGCTGGAGCTGCCACCGTCTTTAGTGCCCGAAGGCGAGGCTGGCTGGCCGTGCAGACTACCCATGTCGGTTGTCGAGGTCGAAGGCTTGAGGCGGGCAACTTGAGCAGGAGGTAGTTTGGAAAACATCTGGTTGCCGCCTGCAGAAGCGTGCGTGGGAGAGGTGGGGTGCGTTCCTTGGAGTGACTTTGGTGTTTGAGGTACTTCGGATTGCAGGTTAGAGCTCGTGAGATCGTGGCTACCAGATTGTGCGGCGCGTGTATAGCGATCGATCCTATCCGCTGTCAGTATGCAAACCCATCGAACTGCATCTTCTACTTGACAAACTTACATGGCTAGTTCACCCATAAGTGTTTCGTGCCGGAATGCCTCGCGAATGCTAGGCACATTGGATCTCGCCATGTCATTGCCAGCGACGCCAGGAAGATGGTAGTTCTTACCCAACCACTTCTGCTTAACAACATGCTCAAAGCCGCTCTGCTCCACAGAATGTTTGGCTAGCTCACACATATCCACAGCACTCAGTTTGTAGATTTGCGCCGCGACCGAGTATTCCTCAATGAGGGGCTCTTTAGTAAAAGCGAACTGCAGAGGATCGTCTGTCGATAGCGAGACGTTGAGACCCCGGCGAAAGTAGCTCAAGAACGGATTGCGTTCGTATGCCAAGAACAGCGCGTTATTGCTAAGAGGCGACATGGCGACACCAATTTGCTCAAGGTAGAAAATGTACTGGAGAAGCGGCACTTTACGGAGCAAGAGGCCGTGGCTGATGCTGTGACAGCATAGTACAGCGGCAGCCAAATGATCCGTGTCGCCAGCCTCTCCACAGTGCGGGCGCAAAAGGAAAGTGTTGAAGCCGCGCTGCTTCCTCCAGACGTTGAGCGACGACATATTAGCGAAGAGGTAGTACATCCAGTAGCTGTATGGCGGGTTCTGCTTTGTAGACCACTCGTTCGGGAACGGAAACTTTCTGTACACACGTCGCTCAACTTTGCTCTCATCGTCGACGCTATCGAACCCAATGACCCTTTGCAGGAAAACGTGAAGCTTAGGGTGACTTGACGGATCTTTGGTGACCTCGAACAAAGGCTGGAACACATTTACGATAACTTGCTGGAAGTTGTCCATGAGGCCAGTAGCCTTGTACACATCGAACAAACGGGGTACTTGGATCAGCCATCGTACATTGGGCGAGAACAGCTTATTGTCAATGACCCAAGCCGCAAGCTTATCCCACTCTTCGATATCTCTACCGTAGATGGAAATGCGCCATTCGACAAATTGGTACTTGCTCGCTTCGAGATCCGATATGACTTCTTTGGTGATTTCAGCCAGGTATCGGCCCTTGACAAAGTTGTCTGTCTTCAAGAAAATGGTTCGGAGACGTGATTCACCAATCGGGTTATACTTCAAGTTGAACTTGTCGAAACGATGAAACGAATCCGTGTGAGCCTACAGAGTCAGCAGATTGTCGCAACGTGGAATGTCTGTACTTACATGCATATCTAGAGTATCGATACTCAGATCATACGCGGTCAAGTTGATTGACTCAAACACTTCCCTTAACGTAAGATGTTTGCCATCACGGAACAGTACCACTTCATCCGGAGACTTCTTCATCTTAGACTTGATGAAGCGCAGCAAATGCTTTTGGTTCATGCATGCTGAGTGGTGAACGTGTGTGTCTACCTTTCGGACGTTGTAGAAGTCCCTGTGCGGCACTTTTTTAGTGTCGGCCGTTTCTTGATATTCATTCAACAGGTAGTAAAGGTTGAATTTGCCCTCAAGATATTGGAGACGACGGAAAGCAAAGCTTTTACTCGGTCCATCGGAGGATATATCAAGAATGGCGTCGAGATCGATGTAAAATTCGCGCAATGTAGGAATTGCTACAATAGGCGTGTCGAGCTCAGCAGATTTGGCTGTCTCATACACCTGATAGACACCGCTCTCGTCCAGGCGGAACGACATCTCTCCAGGGCCTGGCACCGGAAGGCAGTCTTCCAGATGAAAGTCTTCACCAATGTTGGTTCCCATTTTGCGAGGGGGCTTTGGGGCTTCATTGGGCTCTAGAATCCCGCTGTTCTGCAAGCTGCTGCCCGCATTGCGACGCTCTTTAGACGAGTCGTTCCATACTGGTTCAGGGGGAGTGGGGTAGATGCGCCAAGCCGGGTCATCTTTGGGGTTATCGAAGTTGCGCTGTAGAGACAAGCGAATGTACTTGTGACGAAGATCTAGCACTTTCTGGATATTCGTATAGATTGAGCTAAGCTCAGTGGTGATACTGGAATCATTCATGGCGAAGCCTCCTACGCCCGTGCCAACACCTATACCTGCGCCCGCGCCGTGGATACCTTCCTCAGCCAAAAGCGGTTTGTCTTCGTGTGGGAGACCAGGGTGTTGCGCATGGGATCGGGCTTGTTGATCGGCTTGGAGAAAGGCGTCGCCGTCATTGCCGGTACCTGCAGTGTTGGCTCCATGTTGAGTCATGTGTCGACGTGGATCCTGTGACTGCTCTGTGTGTGACAAGCCGATAGGTAGGTTGGACCGGTGCCCTTGATTCGCGAGCGTGACGTTGCTCTTCCTAGAGCGAATGCTCTCTGCCTTGCCTTGGAAGTCTACATTGTCTGTGGTGCCAAAGTTGGCGGGAAATGTCTTTGCGCGCATAGCAGGGCTGTACGCCTCTCCTGCTTGTGAGCCTCCATACTGCGTCTCTAGCTGATGCCGTTGGTAGAATTGCTTGGCTTCAGTGTGGCTCATCTGTTTCTCTGCAGTATAGTCATAGAAGGCAGTTCGTCGTTGCTTGTCGCGGGGCAGCATGCCATTGTCGTCCTCTTCCTCATCGCTGGTGCCGGCGTTGTCCTGCGCCGTTGTAGTCGCACCGTTGTTCAGTCGTGTACGCCCGCTACCGCCAGCCTCGGTTTCAGACAAATCATGGCTCAGTTCTTCTTCTTCAGAGGAGGGGATTTGGTCATCGTGGGCAGGGCCAAAGTCCGGAGACGCATCTGCGTCGGCAGAAAAGGCTCCTGGTCTCCAAATCAGTCTCTGCTTGTCTCGGATCGAGGGATTGGGATGTACTACCTTTCAACATGGTGCTGTGGAGAGGTGGTAGTTGTGGTTGCTGGAGCGAACACAAACTTTAGAGACGAGCCTCACCAGGAACGCGCCTCGGAGACCGCCGGCCTGTCGCCTGGCCCCGTGCCATTTTGTAAATTATGGATTCGATGACTCCATGGCATGCTCATTCTGCAGACTCTTCTAGTACAAGGACACAACCTATGGCGAACAAGACATGGAGGCTATAAGCATTCATGTTTCATTTGGGAAGTTTACTAGGCTTAGTCGGCCCCTCCATCCTCGGCTTGTGATGCTATCGGCAGGGTCAAGCCATTGTTGCCGAGACAGACATGTATAGCCTGCAATGCCACCTACATGGCATTCTGAAATGTTGTCCTCATGAATGCGCTCTACAAACCAAGATGGAGATACCCGAGGGGACAGGCTCAGACGCCGGATCGGAGCGAGTATTTGGTTAGAACCATCTGCACTCGTTTACGTGTGGAAGCTGCCCCTCCTGTCAATTGGACCATACCCCACAAAGTTATCTCTGCCACATGTGAGGGGAGTACTGTGTCATTGGAGATACCAATAGTGTCGCTTTTCAGCGGGCAGAAGAGGAAACAACATTGATGATAGTCTTATCCCATGCAATACGTCATCAAGAAGTGCCATCATTCATGTCGCAGACGCTTGAGTGAACGCCGCTCACGTGCTGGATGCTTAGCGCGAATCTATGATCCATGCCCAAAAATTTACCGTATTCCGACTTTTAGCAAGAAGGTCAAACTAGCCAACGTCCCTCATATCGCCCATAATGTAAGACTCGATCCCGTTTGCAATTGGAGTGGTGGCATTAACCTATCAATGCAGGTTTCTTCTTCGCCGTACTGCCGTCCGCGCCATCACTGCATCGCCTTCCAAGGCTTTCCTTGCGAAGCCCCGATCCATCAACACCGCCACACCCTCTGCCTTCCGTCTAAGACAACAGCAATGGTCAATATCATCTTTCCAGAGACGATTCGCTAGCGATGAAGCTGCAAAGACAGAGCAGGCTGAGGCTGCCGCCGCCGACACCCCAGAGAACTTTGCGCAGACAGCCGCTGAGGCACCCGTCGAGGAGAACTTGACACCGGCTCAGCAAGAAGTGCAAGCCGAGCCCACCGACGCCTCTGCTACCGTTGGTGTCGACGCGCTAGATGCTGCCGTTGAACACGCAGACAAAGGCAGGACGTTTAAGAAGTCACGGACTACACCCCCCAACAACATGCTATACATTGGCAACCTGTACTACGAAGTCACTGCAGAGCAACTGAAGCGCGTCTTTTCCAAGTTTGGCGATGTTGAGAGCACCAGGATTGTCTACGACAACCGAGGCCTAAGCAGAGGGTATGTTGGTCAGCCAGTCTTTGCGCACACGTGCTAACTCTCACGCAGCTTCGGATATGTCGAATTCAAGAACGTCTCGGATGCGCAAGCTGCTCTTGACAACCTCGACATGCAGGTCTTCGAAGGCCGCAACCTGGTCGTCCAGTTCCACCAAGCCAAGCCCAACTCCAGGACCCGCAACACGAGCACAAACAAATTCGAGGCCAACCCTCCTTCCAAGACACTGTTCATTGGCAACATGTCTTTCGAGATGTCAGACAAGGACCTCAACGACCTCTTCCGCGATGTTCGCAACGTCATGGATGTCCGTGTGGCCATTGACAGGAGGACCGGCCAGCCCAGAGGCTTTGCTCACGCAGACTTCATCGATGTTGCTAGCGCCACCAAGGCCAGGGAGGTTCTGAAGGAGAAGACCATCTACGGCAGGCAACTCCGCGTCGACTTCAGCAAATCTGGCACGGAACAACAGCGCAGCAAGCGTTCCGACTCTACCCAGGAGTAAGGGACGACGATAAAAAGAGGCCCAGAACTGTGAGAACATGCAAGGAGAAGGTCGCCTACCCCGTTTCTACAACGATGCATGTACGGCGGAAATGGTTGGCATTTCTGCACGATTGCACGACCGGGACATGTAGCCCATTGGCTGCATAATGTGTTGATAGACATGACTTTTGTATCATAGTGGATGAGCGTCTGGCGTTGTTATATTCCCATCTCTCTTTGTGCATGGTAGGGGATCAAGGTCTACAAGAGGCATGCTGACCTAACAAAACTTTGCCAATGTACACTATCGGTCCATGTTGTGAAGAAACTTGGTATGGCGAAATCTACTACTATGTGTTGGCGCAAAGCTGTGCTGTTCCATTCAAGGGCAGATTCACCCGCTCTGTGTGGCGGCTCAGCGACCTCGGCCGCCCCGCGTACCTTCTCCACATGCTGATCAATTAAACCGGCCGACGCGCCTCTAGCACTCACTCGACCCCGACTTGTACATACTCTCTTCTCCCCGTCGTTCGCGTCATAGCAATCGCTTCACCATCTTCTAAATAGTTATCTCTTGCCATGTCTTTTCTCGGTGGCGCAGAATGCTCCACAGGCGCGAACCCGCTCAGCCAGTTCACCAAACACGTGCAGGATGACAAGTCGCTACAGAGAGACCGCCTGGTCGGGCGGGGGCCTGGAGGAATGCAGGAGGGCATGCGAAGCCAGCAAATGGGCGGTCCTTCAGATGGCGTAAGTTGGGAACAGCAGCCGACGACTGCGGGCAAGTGAGAAACATGGCTAATCGTGCGCTGCGTAGATGATGAACGAGTTCATGAACCAGAATGTCCAACTCCCACAGGGACCCGGTCCTGCGTCTCCATTCGCCATGGAGCAGATGCGAAGAGAGCTGGAGCGGACACAGCACAGCGGGTCACCAGCATGGGCAGCAGAGTTCGACCCAGGCATGCAAGCGCCACAGATGGGAGGACCGGCCATGCAAGAAAGACCAGCAGGATTAAATCCTGCTGAATTCGCAAAGTTTCAGCAGATGAACCCAGCCGCGCGAACGGCGAGCCCAACTACCGCCTCTCAGCCTTCGATGACAGGATACCAGCGGCCTATGTACGGAATGGGCATGGGCATGGGTAATATGGGCATGGGAATGGGCGGTATGGGCATGATGCAGCAGCCATACGCACCACAGAACTTCCAACAGCCCATGCAGGAAGGCAAAGGCAAGGGGCGCATGGTGGAGCTCGACGATCAGGATTGGGAGGCTCAGTTCGCACAGCTTGAGCAAACAGATCAGCAGGACCTGAGTGCCCTTGACGCCGAGGCGAACAAGGCTATGGAGGCAGAGCTCAACGAAATGGACAGGTCAGTAGAGAAAGATGCCGTTGATTTCGACGATTTCGAGTCCATTTGGAAGGGTATCCAAGCTGAGACTGAATACGCTAGGCAACTTGCCAACGAGGAGAACTTCGTCGAAGGACACATGGGCGACATGGACCAATGGGAAGGCTTCGACGGGCTCAACACACACTCGGTCCGCGATCCGGCAATGGGCGACTACTTATTTGAGCAGGAGAACCTCTTCAAGAACGTTACAAATCCATTTGAGGAAGGTGTGAAGATTATGGAAGACGGCGGAAACCTCTCACTGGCAGCCCTAGCATTTGAGGCAGCTGTTCAAAAAGACCCGAATCACATTGCAGCTTGGGTAAGATTGGGCGAGTCGCAAGCGCAGAACGAGAAGGAAACACCGGCTATAAGAGCGTTGGAACATGCTTTGAAGCAGGACCCGTCTAACCTAGAGGCTCTCATGGGTCTGGCTGTATCCTACACGAACGAAGGCTACGAGAGCACCGCATACCGAACCCTGGAACGCTGGCTGGCCACCAAGTACCCGTCACTAATCAAAGAGCCACTTTCTTCAGATGCCGAGATGGGCTTCACAGACCGCCACCTGCTTCACGAGAAAGTTACAAACCTCTTCATCCAAGCCGCACAACTCTCGCCAAGTGGCGAGCAAATGGATCCCGACGTGCAAGTAGGCTTGGGTGTGCTGTTCTATGGCGTAGAAGAATATGACAAAGCAGTCGACTGTTTCGGTGCCGCTCTTGCGTCCACAGAATCCGGCGTCTCAAACTCTTCATCACAAGTCCATCTTCTCTGGAATCGCCTCGGTGCAACCCTCGCAAATTCAGGCCGCAGCGAAGAGGCCATTGACGCCTACTCGCGCGCTCTCGCACTCCGACCAAATTTTGTCCGCGCACGCTACAACCTCGGTGTGTCATGCATCAACATTGGTTGCTACACTGAAGCCGCACAGCACTTGCTCGGTGCGCTAGCTATGCACAAGGTCGTCGAGCGTGAAGGTAAGGAGAAGGCTAGGGAAGTTGTTGGCGAGGGTGTCTCTGACAGCCAACTTGACAACATGATTCACCAAAACCAAAGCACAAACCTGTACGATACGTTACGAAGAGTGTTCGGCCAGATGGGCCGTAGGGATCTCTCTGATATTGTGGGTCCAGGCATGGATGTTGAGCGTTTTCGAGGCGAGTTTGAGTTTTGAAAAGCATGGTAGCGAACGTGTTGTCACAGCAAAACCAGAGGATAAGTATCATGCCGATGAGAGCTACGATGACTGGCTTTTACAAAGGAAAGTCAAGAGACTACGAGTGGATGAATGGGATGATGGGGATCTCGGCGATAGTTGTTGCTTTGGCACACGAACGGTGGAGGTTGGTACGGATTGCGTTTGGAAGCTGCATGGAGGCGTTTAAATCATCGAAGACGCATAGCCGATCGCTACGATGTCGATATTACCTTGTCCCTCGCTGGCTCACATAGATCCAAGTACTTGATCTCTCTTCATTGTTGCTCAAAAACCCCGATCAGTTCTCATAGGAAATATGTAGACATGTGCTGAAAACATAATGTCAGAAGCTTGCAAAGTTGTACAGTGATGAGTCGATCATGCATTGTTCACCACTTTACTTTATATCTAATACATAGGAGAATGTTTGCGTGCTTGAAGGCGATGACCCCAACCCAGCCACGTCCAAAGGCAGAAAACACTATAAAATACATTGAAACCTCTGAATCACACTACCAGCACTCCACGCTGTGCAACGTTTTACCCTAGTTAACCCAATAGAAAGTTCTCCAACCCCACACCTACGTGCATCTTCCACTCATGCTCCATCTATTTAGCAAAGTGCAAGTCGTAGCCGAGCCACTTCCTTGACTGAACTTGGGGAACAGTAAGACCCGGGCTACCGTACGTGAGCGGTGCAAAGAAGAGGAAGCACCAGAAGACGGCAGCAAGGATGACGCCACAGGCGATCCAGCTGCCTGCCAGGCTGGAAGTAGCAACACGTTCGCGAACAGGACGTGAGCGAGTGCGGCGGTGACCCTTGGCAGAGGCCGGCATCTCGGGATCCTGAGGTTCGATGCAGAATACAAATTCTACTAGCGCGCCAGTGACTAGACAAGATGCGAGATGTGCAGGGAGGTAGTGGTGCAAGAAGAGCTGACGACCCATGATATAAAAGGGAATGTAATGGGCAGCCCAGGTAAGGAAGAAGAATCCAGTGGAGTTGTAAAGACGAGAGCGAGTGCCTACAGACATGAATGTTAGAACCTCCCCTTCAAATACAAATGCCAAGATGAAAGCGAATAATCTGGGTTGAATGTAGGGTGACAGTAACTTACGATCATCAAGGGCATCCATGCCACGGCGGAGAGCTAGTTGATCGGCACCAATGATGCCAGCAAAGACAGCAAGGAGCGAGGAAGCAAGCCACCATCCAACAGGGTTACCCAGGAAGTAAATCTGTTGGCGAGTATCGTTGTGGGTCCAGAAAGATACACCGCGAAGCAGGAAAGGCCAGGAAATGGGTTGAGATGCATATGGATGCGAGCTAGTCAAGGCGTTGTTGTGGTGGAACATGGCGCGCTGGAGCTCAACCCACTTCCTGAGGAAGCTCAAGTGCTTGACCTGCTTGGGCTCCTTCTTGTTGCGCTCGTCCTCAGCAGGAAGAGATGGAATGTCATCCACATACCAGAGATTGCTGGATTGTTGGACAGCCTTGTTGCCATTAATCTCAGCCTGCTTGTAGGCCCAGTCAGGGAGAGGCTTAGTGTGGGTCCACATGGCAACCTTTGTTGGCACGTGAACTAGCTTGAAATGAGTTGACATGGTCTTGAAATCGCCCTTGCCCTTGTCGACCTTCAGCTCGAAGAGAGTGTCGTTGTAACGTGTGCCAGCTGCTTCTTCCTTGTTCACAGTCGTGAACTCTTGGTTGGTGGGATAGTAAGGAGAAGCAACGTCATGTGTCAGGAGGATGGTGTCTGTGATCAAATGGCGAAGACGGATGGTATCTCCGACCTTGACGCGTTGACCGACTTCGCTTGACAAGGGCTTTGAAGGAAGGACCTGCCAGTGGTTGTTGGTGTCATTGTGAGGATACCCTGTAACCTGCTGTCCCTGCGAAGAGACACGTCCATCGTCGTAGCGCAGCGGGTAGCGGTCGGGATGGCTGTGAAGATAGACCTTGGTCTCCTTGTGGCGAATGGTGATGGAATCGTAGTAGTTGATGCCAACAGACTGGAGGCTCATTACATTGTCGCTTAGAGTTTCCTGGAATTCCGGGGTCATGAAGTCGTCACCAGGTCCAGATCGAGTGAGAATGGCGAAATGCACCTGGAACCAGAAAAGGTATAGGAAGAAGGGAACGATAACCAAGCCAACAGCACGGGCGGCGAAGTGTTTGCCAAACTCGGCCAGAGTCAAGGCTCCCTGTCGTCGGTTGACATCCATCAAGTCCCAAAGGTCAATCATGACCGGTACACCAATAGAGAAGAAAGTGAAGACACCAACGTACTTGATGGAGATGACGCAGCTCAGGCTGATGCCAGTCAGAAGGAGCCACTTCCACCATTTCCGTCCAAAAGGAACGTGTCGCTCTTTGTAGAAGCGAATGTAAGAAAGCACAGAGAGCGCCATGAAGAAAATGAGCGAAGCATCGAGGAGGATCAGACGCGTCTGACCAATGTGGGCGTTGTCAAGAAGCATAAGACCGGCGGCAGTGATGCAGGCGGGTAGCGAATAGCCGGATTCCCACATGATCATGAAGACAATGGGAACAGTGAGAGCACCGAGCGAGGCGGGCATGGCGCGGTATGCGACGTAGGGGACCTTGTTGGTGATGTAGGAATCGCCAATGTTCTCGAACAGGAAGTCACCCTTGTATCCGACGAGCCAGCCAGCGAGGGCAAAGAGGAGCTTTCCGAGAGGAGGATGGACATCGAAGAAGTAGGTTCGTTGCAGGTAGTACGAAGCGAACTGCAAGCGCGATTAGCCATCTATAAGAGCCCTGGTGATGATATACGCACCTTTCCAAAGTGCACTTCATCAAACACAACCTGATCGGGATGTCTGATGCCCCAGAAGCGCGTGACAAAGGCCAGAACAGTCATTACTGCGATGGCGAGCTTGTAATCCCACTCTTTGCCCTGCTGGACTTGGGCCGGCTTGTATGGTTTGGCCTTCTCGACAACATTGGCGACCTTCTCCGACACCTTTTCGGCAAGAGCTTCTGGGTTTGGTGAGGCTCCTCGCTTTTTGTCCTTGCCTGGGCGCTGGCGGACGCTACCAGCAGGTGAAGACATGGTGGGCTATAGCTCGATGAAGCTACCTGTTGTTCTGGCTGTTAGCTCGCAATGCTGCGGCACGGTTAAACAAGTTGAGGTGCACTCACCTCCCACAAAGAAAAGAACGGGTTTGATGGAATTGAAAAGAGAGTTGGGGTTGCACTCTAAGAGACACGACACCTAATCGCGAGTTCAGGGTCCGGAAGAGCCAATCCCTAATAGGCTCTCTCGCTTGCACTTGGCCCCTGCATTAGCGGTCATTGGTCCACCACGATCACAGCCCCCCAGCGAGGGGTAATGGAGCTCTGGTGAGAGTGATTTCGGATATCTATTCTTGGCACAGTGATGTGAACGATCTTCATGTGCTCTATGTGTTCCGAGATACCACCGTCGCCTACTTCCTTGCAAAACATCGCCGGGGGTAGGTCTAGATTGCCGTCGACACCACGTCATCAAGTCCCTTCAAGTGGTATACATTCTGCAATCACTGACGCTTCTTTCCCTGTTCGGCTTCCAGCTTCTTTTGCTGTGGAATGCGATACGACGTTTCCCATCCGTACAGAGCGCCCGCACCAAACACCATTGCCGCGCCAACCTTCATCAACCCACTCATCTGGTTCCCGAAGAGCCAGATACTCAGCAAGAAGCTTACCAGTTTTCTGATGTTCAAAACTATCGTAACAGTAACCGCAGATGTGTTTGCACTAAGCATGTTGACGCCAGTGATGCAAAGTAGTTGCGTCAGGGCATTGGCGGTAAGGTAGATGACGTGCTGCGATGTCGAGGCCAAGATACTGTTGACGATTGGCGGAAGGCTTTCGGCCACCTTGGGTGGCACCTCGAATGACTGCGATGCCTGTAGGCGCTTGAACTGTTGGGTCAAAACTGGGGTGAATCCCGCGAAGAACGGAATAGACAGCAGGTGGGAGTAGAAGAGATTGGCCTGCCAGTCCTTGCCGTGCTCGCGATAAACGTCTTCGACATAGGCTCCCATCCATGCAGAGAGCAGTTGAGCAATAAGTAGGATGGCGAGACCAGCTTGAAGCGACGAGTTGGACTCGTCGGAACTCGAGGCCTCCATATTCTTGCCCTTGATTCAGGATCAGCATCTGCGGATGATTGATGGTACATATAAGCTTACCTTCGATTGTGCATCTGCCCATGCGGATACCATGACGCCTAGCGTCAGAATTGCGACCGAGAAGACCTGTAAAGGAGTGTATCTCTTGCCACGAAGCCATCCAGCCGCCATGGTAGTCACACTACCAAAGCTCCTGAGGATGATGTGAACGGGGACGGAGATATTGAAAGCAAACGCCCAGTTGTTTAACATGTTGACTGTGAAGAACAACGCAGCGCTGACGCACCACTTTCGGAAAGGGACCGGCGAGCTCCTCAAAAAGTAGCGACCGTTTGGGTCGAACTGGTAGTGCAATGTTGATAGACATGTAAACACAAATTGGAAGAGCGTGATGAGTAAACCACTATCAGGCTCCTGTCTGAAATGCTGTCAGTGGTTATGCTACCAACGACAGCTCGAACCTATTTACTTTACTATCGCTTCCAAGCAGTAAACCTTTGTATTCCTTAGTGTTGTTTTCGCAATGCCGTTGACAAACTTACATTGGCACAGCATCCTCCAAAAATGAGCGAAAAGCTGCTGATAACGGGCGCGATAGCGGCCATGCTGAACGTCAAGGAGCGCAAGAGCTGAGATGAATTGCCGAAGTGGGATTTGAATAGTGTCAGACTTTCGAAGCAAAAAAGTGGTCGAGCTGAGATTGTTAGACAAGTGACGTAGGTGAGTGACAGATGACGGTAAGCTGGCAGGTGCAGAAAGTACCCAGAACCGTATAGAGCGTAAGGCGAGCCCACCCTCTGTGCGCAAGTCTTGCAATATATGCACTTACATGAAAAGCGATTGTAGAATCTTTCTATGTGGTTACCATAGCTTGCGATTTTGTGAACGTTGCAGAGGGAAACTTGAAGTCGTGAGACGCAACGTGGAAGTCTGGGATGTCAAGAGCCTCACCACGGACGCTAACGGGATCAACCTTGGGTCTTGCCGGATCAAGCAAACTTCTAGAACAAAGCTTGAATTTGAAAACCTTCACGCATCTGATGGAAGAAGTCAATTGATTTGATTGACAGAAATTTCCCGCTCATGCTGCGGAGAGGTGCATGTACGCATTGTTAGTATGCTTGTCATGTATTATGAGCTTTGGCCCAGCACTTCAAGGGCTGCCTCATGCAATGTGAGACCAACACTCATTATTTATAGTTTCTTTTATTCTTTCTCTGCACCACTCAGAGTCATTATAGTGGTGTTGCAATCTACACTGATCTGCAGCTGTCCGGTCGTTGACCACGTTGCGACGTCCCTCATCTGCATTCTCACGCCAATTCGCCAAGAATGCTCCTGTTCTATCATCCTAGCGCCGCCTGGCAGGCTGCTGCCAACATTGAAAGGAAGATGGAAGGGTAAAGATGACCAAGAACCTAACAGGCTAATGCTCCGGTTTACATGTATCCTCTGGCGATATTCGTGAATCAAGACTGCCCTTACAATGCGGAGAAGACGAAAAGCTGCAGATTGTCAGTATGGTCATCATTTTAGGAGGACAGATATGCTTACGTTGTTTGTTGCCGCGATAGCGATGCTGTCTTCGAATGGATGCCAGCTCATGTGTAAGATCTTCTTGTTGAAGTCGATCTGGTCTGCGTCTGTTTCCTTCCTCATACGTTGCCCTTGTCCAACTGCACCAGCAGCGGGGCTGCCGGCTCTCGAACCACCCTTCTTACTTGTGTTGCTACCTGTCGGGCTTGTCGACGAGTTCATGGGTGTTGGAATTCCAACCTTCTTGGCTTTGAAGGCAGACTTATCTGCCTGTAATACTACCTCGGTATCTTTGTCGTTGTCAGACGGGTATATCATGAAGTTGTTGTTGTAACTGCCAGTCATGACATTTTTCGCGTCTCCAGAGAAAACGACCTCGAATTTGTCGAAGATGCTGTCGTTTTCGTAGGTGTCGCAGAGCCTTGGTCGGAGATGCTCGTGAATAGGGATCGTCTTGACTGGGGACTTCTCCATGTTGACATCCCAGATCTTGACTGTCAAATAGTCGCGTGACAAGATGTATCGCCCGTCATGCGAAAACCGTACGTCAGAGATGGATGAGATGATCTCGGAGAAGAAGGATCGCGAAGATGGGTCTTCCTCCTGTTCGAATTCTAAGGGCAGAGGTTAGCATTGCTTTCGGGCAAGCAGTCGACGACTTACGCTTCGCATGCTGGTCGCACAATGCACTCTCGCGCATGTCGGCCAGCTTGATCGTGCCCTTGGAACTTGCGTACATGAACCAATTGCAGCTGATCGGATGGAATTCCGCAGCCGTGATGACCTCTGTAAGCTCTTCCATGTTGGCCGGCTTGATATCAACAATGTTGAAGCTCTGGTCTTGGATGTTGAGGTTCCAGAGGTTGATTCGCAAATCGTCGCTACTAATGAATGTCTCTCCATCGCTGTTGACCGATATGCTGTTGATGTGGTAGGCGTGTGCGTTCGCATACGTCTTTCGTGGTACTGCAGCAACAACTGTGTCGTGGTGTGTGAGCCGTGGAAGCTTCAGGTCGGTGGCGCTGCGGAACTGTGCGTTCGGGTTCCTGACGGGACCGCCTCCACCAGCAACCCCACCTCCAGGTGTCAACTCATGCGACAGGTTGTTCTCCGCCACCACTTTTAGCGACTTCTCAAATACCTTCCATAGCTTGATTGTCTTGTCATTTGTGGAGAGCAGGTAGTGTGAGGCGTTTTGCCGGCGGCACCACTTGATCTTATTGATCTTCTCTTCGATCTCGAGAGACTTCAGGTAATCGAACTCAGGCTCGTGCGATTGGAACTCGGTGTGGAACTTGTACTCGCAGGTTTTTTTCTGCATAATGTTAGTCTTTCCGACGGTGAAGGCTTCTAGCAAAGAAGGAGCATACCGTCTCGTTCCTCTCGAACAGGACCACACGGCCACCCTTGTCACCAGTTGCGAGGTAATTGCCCGTCTGGTCGAACTCGACGGTTGAGATGATGTCGGCTGCGCTCGCTGTCAGCAATTGCATGCAGGTATTAACGAATGTACAGAGGACGGGGCGGTAAGAAATGGGTACGTACCTTCGGTTATATCTTCAACATCGCCTTTGTCGCCGAAGCATCTGGTCAAGTCAGTGGCGTTTCCAGAGCGGTCTGAGCAAACTAGCAGGCACGGGGACGGACAAGCCGTTAAAGCTGACAGCGATAGGTAGCGTGCAGAGAGGTACGTACTGTGTGAACTTCCACGTCGTGGGGTTGCCTTCGGCTTCTACCATGATTCTAGACAAGGATTGCGGAGCAGCAGCGGCGTGCGATCAAGGGTAGCTAGTGCTCCGATGTGCTGGTTAAAGAATGGTGTATATGTATTCAGTAAGCGATCTGTCGAGCTGGTAGTAGGGCCGTGGTGAGATAGCGCCGCCAACGTCGAGGGTGGTGGATGGGTGATCGATGGGGAATGATGTAGTGGGAGCGGTGTCTGCTGGTCGAGTGGCCGATAGCGGGGTCAGCGTTGGGTTGGGCTTGTTGTTGAGCTCCGGTAGAATCGACTCGGCGGCAGAGTGACGAGGGCGGGCGACGATGCAGGGAGCAACAGCGCAGGTACAGAGACAAAGCGTGTTAGTTGATACCTCGATTCACTGCTTAGTGGGGGAGGCGCGCCTTCCACGTCCGGCCTTGGCACGACGGCGCGCCTGCCCCAACGCAGTTTAGCGCCCATCTGCTCGGCTCCCACAACGAATATTCGTTTTCGCTGTCAGTCCGAACTTCTGACAACTTCGACACTACTAACCATAGCACATCGAACTCGCCATGTCCCACAGGAAGTTCGAAGCTCCCCGCCACGGGTCTCTGGCATTCTTGCCGCGAAAGCGCGCTGCCCGTCACCGGGGTAAGGTGAAGAGGTAAATTCCCATGGCACCGCCGCCCAGCGACGTCCGACAGCCTGCTCACTGCAATTGCCAGCTTCCCTAAGGATGACCCCAAGAAGCCCGTCCACCTGACGGCCGCCATGGGCTACAAGGCCGGTATGACCACAATCGTCCGCGACCTTGACCGTCCTGGTGCGAAGTTGCACAAGAAGGAGATTGTCGAGGCCTGCACAGTCATCGAGACTCCTCCTGTACGCACAGCCGACCCCAACCAATTTTGGCGCACCACTAACACGACCGCAGATGATCGCTGTCGGTCTTGTCGGCTACATCGAGACCCCCCGCGGTCTCCGCTCGCTCACCACCGTCTGGGCCGAGCACTTGAGCGACGAGGTCAAGCGCCGATTCTACCGCAACTGGTACAAGAGCAAGAAGAAGGCCTTCACCAAGTACGCCAAGAAGCACTCTGAGGAGAGCGGTGCCTCCATCACTCGCGAACTCGAGCGCATGAAGAAGTACTGCACCGTCGTCCGCGTTCTCGCCCACACCCAGATCCACAAGACCCCTCTCAAGCAGAAGAAGGCCCACCTTATGGAGATCCAGGTCAACGGTGGCAGCATCGCCGACAAGGTCTCCTACGGTCACGGTCTGTTCGAGAAGCCAATTGAGATCAGCTCCATCTTCGAGGACAACGAGATGATCGACGTTATCGCCGTCACCAAGGGTCACGGATACAACGGTGTCACCTCCCGTTGGGGCACCAAGAAGCTCCCGCGTAAGACACACAAGGGTCTCCGTAAGGTCGCCTGTATCGGTGCCTGGCATCCTGCCCACGTCCAATGGACTGTTGCCCGTGCTGGTCAGATGGGTTACCACCACCGTACCTCTGTCAACCACAAGATCTACCGTATCGGTAAGGCTGACGACGAGGGTAACGCCTCAACCGACTTCGACGTCTCCAAGAAGCGCATCACACCGTAAGTTATTCTGTCTTCCCAAACGCCGATCACTACTAACATGTACCAGCATGGGTGGCTTCGTCCGCTACGGTGAGGTCAAGAACGACTTCGTTCTCCTCAAGGGTAACTGCCCTGGTGTCAAGAAGCGCGTCATGACCCTGCGCAAGTCCATGTTCACCCACACCAGCAGGAGGGCGCTCGAGAAGGTCGAGCTCAAGTGGATCGACACCTCTTCCAAGTTCGGTCACGGTGCTTACCAGACACCGGCAGAGAAGAGGCAATACGAGGGTGTCCTCAAGAAGGACCTCCAGACTTCGTCTTAGAAGTCTTGAGGTGGTGCTACGGAGTGCATGCTTTCTTCTCATGGGCTTGGGCGCACGGGATAGGTCTACAACATGGATGCCAGTCATGAGCGATTGAACAAAAAATTCAACGATTCCCCAATTCAAAATGCGTTTCTCGTGTTGTGATGTACATGATCGTATTTTGCATCAGCAGCTGCAAAATCGTTTTCCGTGATGTCTCTGTGTGGCCTGGTTTCGCGTAGCTAGTAGTACGTTTGGTGTAGGGCGTGGGTGGGCGGAACACGGGCAAATGGTTCAAACTCGCAACCTGACGGCGCACAGTAGAAAGCAGAAGTAAATCATTAGAATTGGTATTCTCGTGGAAATCGACTCTTGCATAAATGTGGTGTCCAGACGAGGCTTTACTAAATAACAGGGACCGAATACATACTAACATTAGTAGGAACCCTTGTACTTGAATACGCAACTTGCGGAGAAGATTCCCTAGTACAAATGGCTGGGGAAGGGCCGTGTGATCGTGTGAGAAGGTCTATGACGACGACGAATTAGGCTCCATATCTGGAGCGCCAGCGGCAACAATTGTCGGCCAGACAAGTCGCATGAGTCAGCCCAAGTGACAGCAGTTGTCATGTGCCTCCTAAGTACCAACATGGCTTTGAGTGTCCAAAGTTGGGCGGTATCGAGCAAACAGCTGTCTTGTGTGGCTAGAAATCGTTGGCAGGATTCTGTCCGTGGCCATGGACGTATTGTGCAGCAAGGCGTACGCGCAAACTCAGGGCACCTATGTTAATAGCCTATATGGACTGCGTGACCCTGGGATGGAGGCAAACGTGCATCGCGTTCATCAAGAAGAAAAGCCGGAATGAATGGCAGGTACTTGAGAGGCAATGCAGCCGAGGCCTACCGATCCAATTAGCGCCCTCCGATTTTAGTTTGTAAGTAACGCCGTCGGTCGCAACTGCCATCATTGACCTCCAACTTCGAATCCACAAGGACCTTTCGCACTCCCGTATACTCTCCGCTCTTCGGCTACCGCCAATATGAGTTGTCTCAGGATGCGTCGTACGCAGCTTGCAAGCCAGGTGAGTTTCTGCACGCTTTCCATGCCACACGTTCGCAGTCGGCGGTCGATAAACTCGGCATCCGCCGCACCGAGGCGTGTGCCACATCCCACATGGCTTTGGCACATTGTCGCACGTCAACACGACACGTTTGCAGTAGCAGACAATGCCCTTGAATCTCTCATATTCTCCTGCGATTCTCTCCTGGTTCAATGGCTAACACTCGCCTCATAGCTCGCGAGGAGCTTCCGCCCAACCACACGAGCTTTCTCTTCAACCCGGCCAGCGCAACGCATTTTCGCTACTGAGAACCTGAGGGCAAAGGAAGCGTCGGGTTTCATTTCCAGCAAATACCCCGTCATCGACCACGAATACGATGCCATTGTTGTTGGTGCTGGAGGAGCTGGTCTTCGCGCCGCGTTCGGTCTCGCTGAAGCTGGTTTCAACACCGCCTGTATATCTAAGCTTTTCCCCACACGGTCGCACACAGTTGCCGCACAGGGTGGAATTAATGCTGCGCTTGGAAAGTATGTAGAGACGACGGGTGTTTATTAGAGGTTACAGAAGCTGACGAACATGTGTAGCATGCATGAGGACGACTGGCGGTGGCATATGTACGATACAGTCAAGGGATCCGACTGGCTTGGCGACCAGGATGCCATTCACTACATGACAAGAGAAGCGCCTCAATCTGTTATCGAACTCGAGAACTATGGTTGCCCATTTTCGCGAACAGACGACGGCAAGATGTACGAAGAACCCCTCGCCTGAACTTTGTAGAACATACTAACGCACTACAGCTACCAGCGTGCTTTCGGTGGACAGTCCCAGAAGTACGGAAAGGGTGGTCAAGCATACCGATGCTGTGCTGCCGCTGACCGTACCGGCCACGCTCTCCTCCACACTCTCTACGGACAATCGCTACGACACAACACCAAGTACTTCATCGAGTTCTTCGCCACGGATCTAATCATGGAGGACGGCGTCTGCAAGGGTGTTGTCGCATACAACCAGGAAGACGGAACCATCCACCGATTCATTGCCAAGAACACTGTATTGGCCACTGGTGGCTACGGACGTGCCTACTTCAGCTGCACATCTGCCCACACCTGCACTGGTGACGGTATGGCTATGGTTGCTCGCGCGGGTCTTCCCAACCAGGATCTGGAGTTCGTCCAATTCCACCCTACTGGTATCTACGGTGCTGGCTGCTTGATCACTGAGGGATCCCGCGGAGAGGGTGGTTACCTCCTCAACTCTGAGGGTGAACGGTTCATGGAGCGTTACGCGCCTACTGCCAAGGATCTTGCGTCCCGCGACGTCGTATCGCGATCGATGACCCTGGAAATCCGTGAAGGCCGTGGTGTCGGTCCTGAAAAGGACCATATCTACCTCCAGCTCAGCCATCTACCCGCCGAGGTTCTCCATGAGCGTCTACCTGGTATTTCTGAGACTGCCGCTATCTTCGCTGGTGTCGATGTCACCAAGCAGCCCATCCCTGTTCTCCCCACGGTCCACTACAACATGGGTGGTATTCCTACCAAGTACACTGGTGAGGTCATCACTCAGGATGCCCAAGGTAATGATCAGGTCGTCCCAGGTCTGTTCGCTTGTGGTGAAGCTGCCTCCGTCTCCGTCCACGGAGCCAACCGTCTTGGTGCCAACTCTCTCCTCGATCTTATCGTCTTCGGTCGTGCTGTTTCCCACACTATCCGCGATAACTTCAGCCCTGGCCAAAAGGCTGATCCCGTCTCCGCTGATGCTGGTGCTGATTCCATCTCCGTTCTCGACCAGATCCGTACATCTGATGGCCCTAAGTCGACTGCCGAAGTCCGCCTCCAGATGCAGAAGGTCATGCAGACCGACGTTGCCGTCTTCCGAACTCAAGAGTCGCTCGATGAGGGTGTCAAGAAGATCCACGACGTCGACGCTGACTTCGCCAACGTTGGTATCAAGGACCGCAGCATGATCTGGAACTCCGATCTTGTCGAGACCCTCGAGCTTCGTAACCTCCTCACTTGCGCCGTTCAAACCGCCGAATCTGCCGCCAACCGTAAGGAGTCACGAGGTGCCCACGCCCGTGAGGATTTCCCCGACCGTGATGATGAACAATGGATGAAGCACACACTGTCGTGGCAGAAGAAGCCCCACGGTGAGACCCAATTAGGCTACAGGAAGGTCGTTGGTACTACTTTGGATGAGGCTGAGTGCAAGGCTGTACCGCCGTTCAAGCGTACGTACTAGAGGATTGGCTGGGTTAGAAAGGAAAGTGAGGGATGTCTTTTGTATTCTATGTACTTCGGATGACGGATTGCATGTTTTAGCATGTTTGAGAGCATAAATCGTTCTGGATTGAGAATCGAATCTCCCAAGTTTGATCGCTATATTGTGTTCAAATTGGGAACCTTTGTTGAATGGTGCAGTGCTACTGAATGGTGCACTCGGTATTGAGTAGTCGTCCTTGCATGTTGGATATACCATCGCCCTAGCATAGACTGTTGTGGAGACCCGGAGTCTGTTGACTTAGTAAGCGCGAACTGTTCCGCTCAGCACATCAATGTTTACCCAACATTTCAACGCCAATATCAACCTCATCTATAGAGGCTATTAAGGAGAACATCATCAACTCATCGAGGCATGACTATGGCATGTCGGTGCTTAGTGAGAGACAACTCTCTGCAAAAAGAAAAGAGCTCCTGCCATGTGCAATCAAGGCTAACTTTTAGCCTTCTACATGTTTACAGGGGGGCTGGTGTGGCTGCCACCACAGAAAAAGTTGATTTGTTGATGGCGACGTTACGAGTTTCGAAGCTGTTCACTAACTAACTTAACATTGCGATAGTTTTTGTTTGAACAGATGCTAACGTTGTGCTAGTTTTCGATCGATTGGCTGCTTTTCTATGTTATGTTAGTACTACTATCGACCCCGGAAATCACAGACGCTTGATGGGGACCCGTGAGCGCGATGTTGTTTCGGTGGATTAGACGTTCCGCTCAGAATATAATTCTGAACGCGCGGCTTGTCAACATCATACAACTGGCCTTGTCATTTTGCTACTCAACTATGAATAGTCAGTGTACCGCCATTGCTGGAGCGGCCGAGAGGAACAATCTAGCAGCCTCACGCAAAGACCTACGAGTGGCCCGCCCCGTGGAAGACCAACGCGAAAAGTACTTCCTTCAGCTGCCATATCGCTGGTCGCTGCCTCCAGTAGCAGCGAGCAGCCATCTACACTGGCTGTTGTCCCAGAGCATATACATCGTCCGTATCAACAAATACTGTCGAGATAGTAGAGCCACGAAGAAGGAATCTTACACGGCAATCGGATTTTCGGCAACAAGCTCCAGAATTTCAATTGCTTTTGTTTTTGTGTTCTTATAAGTTTCGTGTCCTGGATAAGGCGGAAGATGATGAGAGTTCACATACCGTTCCCAGCGTCGTGTGGTTTAGTCATTAGTGCGATGTGCCATCCGCACCAGACCAGAGACGATATCGATCCACATTTGCGACCTGTTCTGTGGGGTGTCACAGACGGGGCCATGTATGAAGGGCAGAAGCACTGTTCACCATCACTGGAGCTTGCAACGATACTAAAGATTGGAAAGAAATTTCTTTGATTATCTTGGTAAGAAGTGACAGATATTGCAACAGAAACACCACTAAGCGCTCGTAGTGAGACCCACATAATTCTACATTTTCAATGCTTGGCAGGCAATGCGGAGAATGAAGAGTATGAAGAAGACCACGACTAGTGTACCTGGCAACTGAAAACCGACATACTGGGCAGTGAGACATAGAACTCAAAGTCGCGTTATTGATACATTTCCAGCTCTTCTTCTGTGTGCTTGGCGTGATACCCAGATTGATCTCAGCGCCTAGGAAACTGCAAGCGCGATGCTGGCGCTAACGATACCGACACATGGGATCTGGTACCCGGCTGAAAATGGCGGACAAGA